CAATGTGATTTTGTCTTTGGGCAAGACGAATGAGCAGTTAAATCCAATGAGGGGCGTCCTGACATTGGTAAGGTCCTTGAGGCCAAAACTCATCCGCTTTAAAGTATCTGAGTACATCACTTTCGAGGAACTCCCGGAGTCCACCAATACCCTCATGACGTTGAACTTGTCTATCTTCAGGGTTATGATCAAGGTGTCGTTATGGGGAGTCACCATGCCCGCCAAGTTTGCATCGGAGAACGTGATGCCCGACTCGACAATCCTAGTCCTTTTGCTGGGTGGCCCCCCATCACCCTCGGTAATCTTTCTCGTAAATGCTACTCTCTTGAGATCGGACTCGAGTTCCTTGGATGTCGGGCGATCTAGTGGACATACATGGATCACGTCTATGACATTGTCTAGCTCCCCGGACGGGGCAGGGGCATGTCTCTCTTCCGGCTTAGGTTCTATGTATTCTTTTAAGTAACCGTCCCGGACCAACCTTTCCAAAAAAGACTTGTATACTCTGTAACTTTCGGTGCGATGGCCAAAATCCTGGTGATAGGAACACCTGACCTTTTGATCACGGGTGGAGGGATCGCTCTTCATTCTGGGCGGCCACTTGAAGAATGGCTCATGCTTGATCTTGTGGAGTAACTTGTAGATAGGTTCTTTGAACATAGTCTGAACACCTTTGAATGCCCCCCCGGAGGAGGTAGCAACCTCTTTCGAGAAGTATCCTCCCGCTCCCTCTCTTTTCTCTTAGGTGGGAGGGTTCTGCTTTGCTGCTCCCCATTTCGTCCTCGATCCTAGAGTATTTATTTATCTGGGCCATCAACTCGCCCATATCTGAGGGAGTCTTTTTAGTCAGGGATCGGTACAGGTTCGTGTCCCTTGCCAAGCCAAGCCTGAAAGATGCCACTGCCATGACTTCCGAACACCCCTACACCTCATTAACCTCTTCCCAGTATCAGATGGCGTACTGGCGAAGGGTCTCAGATTCCCTCCGTCTGAGCATCAGTAATAATCCAATGTCTTTAGGCCGCTTTCTCCCTGTAATTAATCGGGCTAGGAACTGCCTCGTCAACTCTTTCCATGATCCAATGCTGTTGGGGGGGAAGAGTCTCGAACCACTTCATCGCGGAGTCCCCCAAGCTTATGGAAAACACTCGGTAGAGGAGTTGGTGGTTCGAATGATACAGGGACATCGTTTGTTTATATTGCCTGAGGTGAGCTTCGGGATCTGATCGCCCATCGTAAGTTTTAAATTTTGGCACTACGAACTTCCTTGGTACCTCCATTTCTCGGATATCCCTGACAAAAGACGATTATATGGTCTCGTCTTCAGCGTCATCCTGGACAGTCCTGCCCTTTCTCCTGGATTCCAACCGAGCTCTGAGATCAGTTTTCACCCTAAATGGATGTCTTCTGAGGTANTCTCTCGGATATCCCTGACAAAAGACGATTATAGGGTCTCATCTTCAGCGTCATCCTGGACAGTCCTGCCCTTTCTCCTGGATTCTAACCGAGCTCTGAGATCAGTTTCCACCCTAAATGGATGTCTTCTGAGGTATTCGAGTTCATTGACGGGACTCTCCTTTTTCGGGCGTCACGTGAAAAGGGTTGAATCCTCCTTGGACTCGTCTCCCTTCCCCCGCCTTGATAGTCCTCGTCGGAGGTCGTCCAGGGCTAAAGGTCTTGCCTTCCTAGAATGATCGTCGAGGGGGTACTTGTTGGCTCTTGGGCGTTTCGGGGCCCTGGAGCCTTCAGCCTTGTTATTTAAATGATTCCTCAGGTCCTCAATTTCNCTAGTCCTCGCCGGAGGTCGTCCAGGGCTAAAGGCCTTGCCTTCCTAGAATGATCGTCGAGGGGGTACTTGTTGGCTCTTGGGCGTTTCGGGGCCATGGAGCCTTCAGCCTTGTTATTTAAATGATTCCTCAGGTCCTCAATTTCTGCTTCTTGGGCGGGGAGTCCATGAGAAGGGAACGAGTCCCTCGACCCTTCGCCGCAGGTGGCGAATTCGTTAAGTCGGCTTAGGACGTTCACATTGTCTTTTTCCAACTGTCGTAATCGATCCTAAAACTTTTCTTCGATCACCTCCGCCAGTTGACGAGCCAAGGGGGCAGATTCTCCTNGTGGCGAATTCGTTAAGTCGGCTTAGGACGTTCACATTGTCTTTTTCCAACTGTCGTAATCGATCCCAAAACTTTTCTTCGATCACCTCCGCCAGTTGACGAGCCAAGGGGGCAGATTCTCCTGACCTGATGGCCATACTGGTTTGAGGAGTAAGCCCCCTTAACTAAATAGAGACATTTATGTTGTCATCAGCGTGACCCTTCCCTCCATCATGACGAGGAGCTTGCAAATCGAGACTTATTTGCTGGGGACTTTTACCTTTCTGTCGAGTAATCACCATGGTCACTGTCCTTTCTAGAGAAGAAACTAGGAAAACTAGTCGTTTCCCACAGACAACGCCAGATTGTGCGTGCAGGATCTTGCACAATATACACACAAGAACAGATCTCTCCCGTGGTGAACACGAGTCAGTCAATCGAATGGTCAGCCTTGTTGTTTGGAACAGTGTGAGATCCAGTGGTAGCCTGGAACGGTAATAGGTGACTTTTGTGGGTCATCGGAGCAGTCCAGTAAGGCTGAGAGAGGTTCCTGAAATAGAGAAAAATGAGTTAGGAGGGCGCCAGAGTGTTTTTCGACGTATCCCTTTCGACGATCAAGTTAGTTCTTTGAGAGAGGGGAAGAAGAAAACACTGTGTATAGGTTTGAGAAAAAGTTTTTTGCGTTTAGTTCTTTGAGAAAGGGGAAGAAGAAAACACTGTGTATAGGTTTGAGAAAAGGTTTTTTGCGTACCGTCTTGCCTTTTGTGAGGAGTATTTATACCTTTAAAACTTATGATTGCTGTCAGTGTGGTCAGTAGGTGATCATTAGAGGTGGGTAATGTGCATACTGGTATTCAGGAGAAATGACCTCTTTCTTAACTGCTCGGGATCCCAAGCAATCAATGCATCACCCTCGGTCTGTCGAACGTTTAATGACCCTTACTCGGCAGGGATGTATTAAATGCTCAGTCACAGGAGCATTTATTGTCTTTCACTTCTTTGTCATTATGCGTTAAATGCTGTCTCATCAAGGAAAATGTGCATTAAATACTTGTTTTCCCAAGTCGTGTGTCAGCAAGGGCGTTCTAGTCTTTTTGTCCCTGAACTGACACAGTATGCCACGTGTCAGCTCCCTTTTGGTTGAGTCCTCTGCTTTCCTGTGCGTTCTGACACCATCCAAGTATGACTAGGTCATGATGGCTAATCTAGACTAGCCCAGGCTGATGTCCTGTCTATCAACAACCTTGCAGGAACAAAACGCCGATGTAGTGGATACACCTCGGTGCCGAGGGCCTAGTACGGTTAAGGACCGACGTACCCCCATTCGACCGAGAAATACGTGTCGACCCCCCGTGCATATTGGCGTCGTGGGTCCTTATGCCTAATACCCTACTCGGGGGAAAGGGGATCATGGCCCGATGAGCACGTGTCGTGACCATAGCAGAGAGTATTTCCTTGACGCCGAGTACACGTGTTATTTATCTTGGAGTGTCTGAAAATATCCCATCAGATAGATAATTATTAAAAATTATGGCGTTTAACTGTCTACTCTTTAAAGTTTTACAACACGTATTAGGAGCACAAATCAGTGAGGTGTAAAGATGCAGCCCGTTGCAACAACTCTTTAGATTTTATAAATCACCTATGGTGCATTTGAAGGTGATCCATTTTTATATAGTATGCCTTACCTAAATTTCACATCGCTGCTCTGAGATCTCACTCAGAGCAGAGACCTACAGTCTATTTAATACATGGAAACTCGTGCAACTTTAGTGAAGCTTAATGGAAGGCAATACCTTTTACGGTTGAGGTTAGAGTTAATTTGAGGAATGAAGAGAATTTCATGTCACAAACAGAACCATAATTTTACTCAAATCAAAAGGGTGAAACAGCATGAGTCAATCCCATGTACTAATCTTGATTTCATAACTCGAGCATATTGCTTATGCTGTCTCTAAATAGAANCGGGCTCCTAGACAAACTCCGAGAGTGAAACTAAGGATCCTTGCAGAATTGCAAGGACATTGTCAGTAACTATGGGTGGCAACTGAAGAGAATGGGTTACCAGATAAGCTATAGGAGTCTGAGACGAAGAATCCTTGGTTCCTTAAATATACCATGAATATTTGAACTAGATCTTTTAACATATTCCAAGTACCCAACTTGATTGGTACTTGGGTTTCTAAGAACTGCCTCACTCATCATAATTGAGCACTGTTTGAACATATGTTTGGAAACAAGCAAAACCCTATGCCGATCAGCTGAAACCAATATGATGACATAAACCATTCAAAAATTCTGCCATGACTCCCTTAAACAACAAGTCGCTGGCAAGCACACTGTATAAGCTGATGCTGCGGTCCAGAAAAGTCTTCTTTGTGCAGAAGGGTCCCCAAGCCTGAAATGAACAACTGGCCCACATAAGTCCCCAAATCATTGGACAATTAATCCTACGTACACCTCAACCAACAGGCAAATAAGCAATTTAGACACTTAAGGTCAACTTAGTGGTTTGTCATTCCTATCATTACAAGATCAGCTCTTTGATTATATAAACCTTCATCAGTGCTGTTCCATCTCCTCCATCCCATCTTAAGTCAATCTTTTAATATCTAACAAACTACAAGAAACTCCCAGACCCCTCCATTGCATTTCCCGTAATTTTAAAGGTAATAAGCACTCACATCATCTACACTCTCGCTCTCACACAAAACGGGGGGCCTAGCCTTGCTCTAACAAGCTTGAAATTTATTAGCAGTTATCCATCAGCAAAAGAAAACAATATCCCCAAGCTTGAAACTTGCCAACATACCTAAAAGTATCTCACTGGTCACTGCAGAACATTGTGAAAAAAAAGCGTCATAAGAAATTAAAATTAAAGAGGCAAATCCCGAGGCATTCAACATCCTTCTGATTTGATCATTAACTAACTTTTAACCAGTCTTTCTACAAGCCCGGGTACAGAAAGGACCACATAAATTCTCATGAACAATTTTTAGCACTCTTATGTCTCCAATATGAGCACCAAAACTGAGATTTTGCCTTCCATTCATCAACTCTCAGCAAAACTAGCTTTGTCACTTCAAGCAGAAGGATAAATATATTTGTGGTCAGTAGGAACTTCCCTCATATTCTACCTTGCCTGAATCTGAAACAACAGTGTCAATGAAACGTGCCCCATGAGTCCATGACATCCATCTAAAAATCAAATGCAATTGCTTCAGCCTTATAATAAATCGGTAATTCAAAAACAGAAAAATGTACCTTTTGCCAGAACTCAACTTGCCAATATTATAGAAAAAATATGACGGACAAACGAAATTGAGTATAAAATTTCGGAAGTATTACACAAACTTATTTATGTAGAATGCTTGTGAATATCTAGATATAGTGGAGTGTTTCACTTNCAGGCTCCGAGAGTGAAACTAAGGTTCCTTGCAGAATTGCAAGGACATTGTCAGTAACTATGGGTGGCAACTGAAGAGAATGGGTTACCAGATAAACTATAGGAGTCTGAGACGAAGAATCCTCGGTTCCTTAAATATACCATGAATTTTTGAACTAGATCTTTTAACATATTCCAAGTACCCAACTTGATTGGTACTTGGGTTTCTAAGAACTGCCTCACTCATCATAATTGAGCACTGTTTGAACATATGTTTGGAAACAAGCAAAACCCTATGCCGATCAGCTGAAACCAATATGATGACATAAACCATTCAAAAATTCTGCCATGACTCCCTTAAACAACAAGTCGCTGGCAAGCACACTGTATAAGCTGATGCTGCGGTCCAGAAAAGTCTTCTTTGTGCAGAAGGGTCCCCAAGCCTGAAATGAACAACTGGCCCACATAAGTCCCCAAATCATTGGACAATTAATCCTACGTACACCTCAACCAACAGGCAAATAAGCAATTTAGACACTTAAGGTCAACTTAGTGGTTTGTCATTCCTATCATTACAAGATCAGCTCTTTGATTATATAAACCTTCATCAGTGCTGTTCCATCTCCTCCATCCCATCTTAAGTCAATCTTTTAATATCTAACAAACTACAAGAAACTCCCAGACCCCTCCATTGCATTTCCCGTAATTTTAAAGGTAATAAGCACTCACATCATCTACACTCTCGCTCTCACACAAAACGGGGGGCCTAGCCTTGCTCTAACAAGCTTGAAATTTATTAGCAGTTATCCATCAGCAAAAGAAAACAATATCCCCAAGCTTGAAACTTGCCAACATACCTAAAAGTATCTCACTGGTCACTGCAGAACATTGTGAAAAAAAAGCGTCATAAGAAATTAAAATTAAAGAGGCAAATCCCGAGGCATTCAACATCCTTCTGATTTGATCATTAACTAACTTTTAACCAGTCTTTCTACAAGCCCGGGTACAGAAAGGACCACATAAATTCTCATGAACAATTTTTAGCACTCTTATGTCTCCAATATGAGCACCAAAACTGAGATTTTGCCTTCCATTCATCAACTCTCAGCAAAACTAGCTTTGTCACTTCAAGCAGAAGGATAAATATATTTGTGGTCAGTAGGAACTTCCCTCATATTCTACCTTGCCTGAATCTGAAACAACAGTGTCAATGAAACGTGCCCCATGAGTCCATGACATCCATCTAAAAATCAAATGCAATTGCTTCAGCCTTATAATAAATCGGTAATTCAAAAACAGAAAAATGTACCTTTTGCCAGAACTCAACTTGCCAATATTATAGAAAAAATATGACGGACAAACGAAATTGAGTATAAAATTTCGGAAGTATTACACAAACTTATTTATGTAGAATGCTTGTGAATATCTAGATATAGTGGAGTGTTTCACTTCTCACATCAAAGTTATATAATGAAAGAATGAAAAAAAAATTCTAAGAAGTGATTTCAATCAACTAAATTGATGATCATCATAACAAAATAAATTTTAGAAGATGAAAACAATTAGCCATCAATGGTTGTTCTTCTCCAACAAAGAAGACAAAAATATATCGTTAGTGGCTGAATGGCCATCGACGAAAATGATTCAGTAGTCCAGCATTTAATGATCTGAAAGCACAGTTAACCAAAAAATTTCATCTATATAAATGATTTGTACTTCATATATGCTCGAACTGTTGTCATCTGAAGACTTTCCAAATGACCACTTCCTAGAAGCATTTTATGAAGCTCTTAAATTGCTTTACCACTGCTTTAAACCTCACGAGAAAACCTTACCATCATGAAGCTCTTACAGACAGTGAAAGGAGAAACAGAAAGGATGAGTAAAAGAATTACCACCCGATGAAAAAATATTTATGATCATAATAGTAATAACTATGACAAAAATAATAAAACCCCTCCCACTGGTACACATCAACTCAGACATAGACAAGTATAAAAGAGTTAATACTTAATAGGATTAGTAGATAAGCTGTAGGAGCAAAATCAGTCGATGGAATCCAAAACTAAAAATTCAAAGAAGGAATAAACACAACATTGAACAATAATGATAGATGACAAGAAATACTAGAAAAATCAACAGAAAGGGCGGTATAAGATTGCCGGTATTTCAATTTTCAGTTAGCAAAAATTAATTAATCCAATTCTAACACTAATATGATGCGTAGAAATTTAATCAGATAGAGAGGGAGAGGTTCATCAACTTCACTCTCCACCATTTTGGCAACCTTACAGCAACTATCAATAATAGATTAATTCCCACTGTCAGACTTCATCTCACCTCTACGTGCATAAACACCATGTCTTAATTCGCCCTCTCGTGCCATGTGCAAAACAAACAATCGGATTTTTTCAATGACTACAAAACAAGCAATCAAAACAACATGCTTATATTTCAAACACCTTACCTCTTCCAAACTTTGTGCCTTCACGATCCATAAGGTCAATGGCGCCTTTTTGGGTTCTATTGTGCCGTTCTGTCGGGCTTCTCCTCACCCCCTCTCTAGTGCTTTCGCCAATCCTATAGATGCATTGTTATTCATTATAATAGTTGATTGTTCATCATCATAGTTATATACCGATGTACGACTCAATCTCAATAGCGTTTATACAAGAGATAAGTGAGTGTGTGTGTGTGTGTGTGAGAGAGAGAGAGAGAGCTTACCAGGTAACCAGGGGTAGGGTTAGAGCAGGAGCTGTCTTGCCCCTCAGCGTACCACCACGGCAGCCATTTAGATGGAAAACCAGAGGCCCAGCCCGAACCAGCCGAACCCGTTTTCAACAACAACAGAATTAGGATATATATATTTTTTTTAATAAATTTTTATTGTTTTTTTTTATCTATTTTTTTTTCTTTTTTGGGGGGGAGGGTAAGAGTGAGATGAAAAGAAGGTTTGAAACCCTTGACCTTGCGAAAATAAAATTTTTATAAGGTAAAGAGTACTATAAAACCAAAAGTTCATTGGTAAAGCTTTCAATTTCAATATGAATTCAATCCAAAACCAATTAGGGAAGGGTCGGTGATACCGTACCAAAAATTATAATTTTTTAAGATTAAATTATAATTATTTTGGTGTATAAATTATAATTTATAAAGAATATGATCAATCATGAAAGATTAGAATCGATACCGAAGATTACAACTTTTATAGGCCAACTTTTATAGGTCAACTTTTAAGGGAGAAGTTATAACTGTTANAATATGATCAATCATGAAAGATTAGAATCGATACCGAAGATTACAACTTTTATAGGCCAACTTTTATAGGTCAACTTTTAAGGGAGAAGTTATAACTGTTAAAAGGAAACCANAGATTACAACTTTTATAGGTCAACTTTTAAGGGAGAAGTTATAACTGTTAAAAGGAAACCAACGATCGATCATAGGTGTGTGTAATTGATCATGACCTTCCCTTCAACAATTTTAATTTTTCTTTTCAAAAATGTAACTTTACCATAAAAAATTATAATTGATGGTACGGTACTAATTTTTTTTTTCGGGGTGCCTTAGACTTTCCCAACCATTTAACTTGATTATTTGTGGATGCTTATATTTTTAAATTTGAATTACACATCTCCAATCGAAAATCAGGCCTAATTTCTTGTTTAATTATCGAATTTCATTAATTCAAATTAAACTCTGATTGGATCCTAATAACCTAAGATTCTGACCCAATTACTGTTAAAAATTAAGTAGGGTTGAGATTTTTTCCCCATACTCCTAACATGTAAAATTTGGGTTTTTTTTATAGTCGGTTTTCTGCAGAGTACTTTTATGTCATATACTCCAAACACTGCATGTATGAAAAAATATTACAAAATTCAAATAAAATCCAAAACAAATAAGCCAAATGCATGTACATGATTCATTGCATTGGGTTTATCCTTCACCTTGCTCATAGGAGTGAACTTCATCGGCCACTAATCGATTAAAATAAGTGTTCATGATGAGAAACAACTTTTGTTTCTGCTTCATCATCCTTTCTTGTCCGACATTTAGTAAATGAACTTTTGATTCAAGTCAACTAACTCGCTTGACTCTGATATCATTTGTTACGTGGCGAGGGATTTAGAAAATAAAAGGAAAATATAATTAGGGGAAAGAGGGACCTGTTTCAAGGGAGGTAAAAACATCCTGTGGTTCACTTCGAAGGAAGCTTAATCTCCCAAGTCTTTTACAAAAAAATTTATCATAAATATTTGTTACTTTTGTCATTAACTGTAAGCTCTTTAAATATAATGTACAAGATACTACTAAACTCCATGACTCCATTACCTAGACAACGAACTAAGAAACCTAATAATACTATACTGATTGTTTCCAGTGGTGGATCCGCCTCCTCCACGAGCCCAACATAGTTTTTTCTTTCTTTCTTCTCGTGAGTGGGTATGTTTTTTTGCTCTAATTCATTTGCAGTAATTGTTTCAGTTTTCTACAGTGACCTTTTTAGCCTTAAAGTTTTCTTCTTGAAGAATGTTCTTGAGTGTTGAAGCCCCTTGCATCCATTTATTTTCTTCTGAATGCTTTTTGAAAATCATTACGCATTAATTTCAAAATTTTGGATGAGGTAGTCATTAATATAATCGTCCGTTATAATACCAATTGTTACGAACACTTTTCTTAGAGATTTGTAAAACAAAATAAAAATAGAATTGAGGAATAAAACCCATGTAAGAAATAAAAACCTCAAGTGATTCACTTAACATTTGTAGAAAGAAAAGTTTTAGATAACTCATCCATGGATCAATCCTAAATTTATATAAAGACTCCTGGCAAAAAAATTGCTAAAAACAGCAACCGTCCAACATAACAGGAGCACAACAAACCGGACAACTTTCTACTAGGACTCTAGTATTGTTGCCCTTTCTCAGCACTTATCCACATAACCCACACCCAAACTTCGGACATGTAACATTTCATTTTCCTATTAAACTTTATCCACAAAGTTTAATTTGTCATGTAGGGAAGGAGGAGGCCAACCCACTTCCGTATCCTCGTAACAGTCAACTCGACTCCAATTTTCGCCACTAATAAGCATACACCAATTTTTTATCNTCCACAAAGTTTAATTTGTCATGTAGGGAAGGAGGAGGCCAACCCACTTCCGTATCCTCGTAACAGTCAACTCGACTCCAATTTTCGCCACTAATAAGCATACACCAATTTTTTATCCATTGGATTGCAGCGACAATCTTCAAGGGGACCGGACTTGAAGCCTGAACATCAAGTCTAATGATATCCTTGAATCCACCTCCCAAACATCCCGCCGGTTGTTAGTTGANTCCATTGGATTGCAGCGACAATCTTCAAGGGGACCGGACTTGAAGCCTGAACATCAACTCTAATGATATCCTTGAATCCACCTCCCAAACATCCCGCCGGTTGTTAGTTGTGGTGCGTTGCGGCCAAGTGCAAGCAAGCTGTAGTAAAAGGGGTATAATTGTCTTGAATGGAGTCCGTTGGCTTCAAGTTGGTAAGGACACATGTAAAGACTTCATTCTCTTTCTTGTGTATTTGACATCGGAGGTTGTACTCGTGTCATGTCGTGTCGTGTCGTGTCGTGTTGTGTTGAGATCATATTTTATTCTTACGAATTCGTATCAAATATTAGTCTATTATAACCCAATTTATTTAATCAATCGTGTTGTGTCGATTGACCTATTTATTTTCGTGTCGANCCGTTGGCTTCAAGTTGGTAAGGACACATGTAAAGACTTCATTCTCTTTCTTGTGTAATTGACATAGGAGGTTGTAATCGTGTCATATTGTGCCGTGTTGTGTTGTGTTGAGATTGTATTTTATTCTTACGAATTCGTATCAAGTATTAGTCTATTATAACCCAATTTATTTAATCAATCGTGTTGTGTCGATTGACCTATTTATTTTCATGTCGGATTCGTATTTGTATTTGTGTTGATCCATACAAACATTGAATAAAAAATTTAATTTTAAAATTTAAGTCTAAGTTTTTATTATCAATTAATTGAATTTATGCACATATTTTTTCTATAAATTAAAAATTAACTTAAAAAACATAATAATAATAATAAATAAAAATGTCTTTTTTTTGTACAATAATTATGTCAATGCTTTATAAACAATAACAAATAATTAGTATTTTATTTCTATAATATTAATTTAACGTGTTAATCGTGTCAATTTTTATTTCACACTAACTTAACTCATTTATTATTCATGTTAACGAATCGAGTTATTTATAGCTTCATGTTGAAAAATGATCAATCCTAACACGTTAATTTTGTATTAAATTCGAGTTGTGTTTTCGTACATATTGTGTCAAAAATTGTCACTCCTATTTGACACCACAAGAGTGCATCTTCCTCCCGGTGGTATGATGCTTAGAGGACCTTTTTATCAATGCCCATTTCTTCGTTCCTACATAATTGTGCGATTGGACAAACCTTCTTGCTATCATTTGGAGAATGAATCGGTTTGGGGGTCATCAAATGAGCAGAATAAAGTAATGTTATTTGAGCCTAGTTTGCTAATTTAATAATGTAGTTTTAATAAAATCATTGAATTAACACCAAATTTTAATATTTAATGAGACTTATAATTAAACCAATAAATTAGATCCCAGTAATATTACTCGAGCAAAATATGNGACATCAGTCATGTTAACTCGATGCAAGAGATCCCTTATATATTTCCTTTGAGATAAAAGCAAACCAGTAGCAGTGAAGTGAGCTTCAACCCCAATAAAGTATGACAGATTACCAAGATCATTTAGAGAGGATTGACTGGCAAGAGTAGTAATGAAAACAGTCACATGAGTAGTAGAGGAACCAGTTATGATGATGTCATCAACGTAAACCAATAGATAAAGAACCAAAGTGGGAGNATGAATGAACTTTCGCTTGAAGTTAAATAACTCGGTCCTCCATGATTGACTTTGATATCAATTGTTACGTACACAATTTCAATGAATTTAGGAAATAAAAGAAAAAAATTATTAGAAGAACAAGAGACCTGCTTTGAGGGGTAGATAAAAGATGGTGTGATTGAATGTAAAATTATATATATGATTCTAAATAGTATAAGAAAAGGAAACTAATGAGGCGAGCTAATTCTTGAGATTGACTGAATATACATATACTCAAGTGGTGTATATTACACAGTAATTGCAGAATAAATCAAGGATGGTTTCCATATATTTGNAAACCAATAAATAAAGAACCAAAGTGGGAGAGTGGAGCACAAACAAGGAGGTACCCGAGTGAGAGTTGGCAAAGCCTTAAGAGATAAGAAAATTACATAGCTCGTGGTACCAAGCACGAGGGGCTTGTCGAAGCCTATATATAGCCTTGCGTAATAGACAGACATGATTGAGAAGGTCAGAGTGGGCGAAGCCAGGGGGCTAGTCCATGAATACTTCATCAGATGGAGAGCCCTGCAAGAACGCATTATTCACTTCAAGTTGGTGAAGAGGTCAATTGTTAGTCACAACAAGAGCAAGTAATAACCGAACAGTTGCAGGCTTGACAACAGGGTTGTACGTTTAAGAAAAATCAACCCCAGGTCGTTGATGAAAACCTTTAGCCACTAAGTGAGCTTTTGCACCCAATAACATTTTGTGCGGGGGTTCGTGGAACGAGAGACCAAGTTTGATTGGAGAGTAAAACATTGTATCCATCACTCATGGCTTGACGCCATGCGTGATGTTGCTGGGCATGTTTGAGGGTTGA